AAGAAGTCCCGTATGATGAGCACGAGACTATCCGGCACGCCCATGTTGAATAGTTTGAAAATCAAACCATTGTGCCAGACTTTGTCGAACGCTTTTGCGACGTCGAAGAAGAGAGCTCCCGTGTATAACGGTTTTGGTCGATTAAGCCCCACAAGAATGTGCTCCGTGAGGCGGTGCACCTGTTGAACGCATGAGTGATTTGTACGGAATCCGAATTGTTCATCGATGAGAATGCCCTTGGATGAGACGAAGTCTCTGAGGCGTTTGTAGAGCAGACGCTCATACAGTTTGCCTAGAGACATGAGGAGGCTAATCGGGCGGTAACTCGTCGGATGATTTTTTGGTTTACCGGGTTTATGTATGCCGATAACGTCCGCTTCTTTCCACACCGCGGGAAAGATACAGTTCGCCATAGCGGCATTGAAAATAGATGCCAACATCACGATGAGTTGGACGGGTAGAAGTTTAATAACGCGGTTAGATATACCGTCGGAACCGGGAGAGGAGAGAGTTCAGAGTCAACGAAAGCTCACCTTGTCTCCGTTGGCGTGGTACTGGTAGGTCTTTAAGTATGTGCCTAGCGATATTATCTCGCATTGCGGACAGCTGCGGTCCGCGGTCGCACGCAATAGATTCAACATGTATATAAAGTCTTCGGCCACGTAATGGTCCTCCTCTAGAAACACTACCATTCCTGGAAGGGACGAGCGAACATACATTACAAAAAAAAAAAAAAAAATATGGTGCTCTTGCAACTTGGTGCACGTGAAAGAAGTGAAACTTCTTTTGCGGTGTTTATAATAGTGTTGTGGTTTTCATAATTTTTCATTCTTAAATCAAATTTCTCTTGTAATAGGGAATGCTGTGTATAAGAAAAACGACCTAGCTCGCTTTCTGCCTCTCCGCGGTCGAGTGATTCGCGAGACGCTCTGTCTAGTTTCTCACTCTCGCTCATTCTTAATTGTATCTTTTCTCTCTAACGGTAACGAATCTGTCGCGAATTAATTTCAGTCTAAACGCGCTTAAAAAAGTTTCAGTTCAGCAAAAAAAAAACGAAGATTTATTTGGTCGGCCTTCGAAGATTGAACCCAGTTCAACCGTCGAAGTCCGTGGACTACAACACGAAGGGCGCTTTTTTTTAATGCTTATTTGGGTGGACGAGCTCAAAGCGCATCTGAGCATGTTCCATACCTGTATGATTAGTTGTACATTCGAGCTGATTGAATATCCTGTTCGCCTTCCACCACCAGTGATGTTTGGTCTGCGTGTATTTCGCTTCCCTGTAGTGCCCGTGGAGGTCGGGATGCAAAGCGTTGATGCATTTCAACTTTATCGCCCTTAGGACAATAGCAATAGGTTCTAATTTACACTTAAACTTAAACAAAGACTCACACGAACCGTTATGAAAGTCAAAAATAAAAAATACAAAACGCCTTTCATTGTAATTAAACATTACTTATAATTCAGAAAAATAAATTTTATATTAAATGACAATCTTTATTAAACTTAATTATTTTTAAACTGGATCGTAAAATACCCACTAAGCCTGACATAAAAAAAATAGAATATTCATTTACTAAATTTGGCATTAACACTAGTCTTCTTAAGAGGTTCACATTTCGTGAGCACGCAATCGAATGTAAAAGCTGCGCCCCTCATTTCTATTCCCTCGGGGTCGTTGACCTCGAACGTCAATACATTATCCATTGCTGGGTCATAACGATAATACGGAAACGCGATTACTTTAGCATCATCAAGTATCACTATATAGTACCGTTTATCTTTCAGTATCTATTGCCAGTTTTTTTCTTTTTCTTAGATGGGTGAACGAGCTCACATCCCACCTGGTGTTAAGTAGTTACTGGAGCCCACAGGCATCTACAACGTAAATGCGCCACCCACCCACCTTGAGATATAAGTTCTAAGGTCTTAGTATAGTTACAACGGCTGCCCCACCCTTCAAGCCGAAACGCATTACTGCTTCGCGGCAGAAATAGGCAGGGCGGTAACCTACCCGTGCGGACTCATAAGAGTTCCTACCACCAGTAAAAACATCGCAAGTGACATTGCAGGAATATACAATTTAGTTAATTTAAATTTAACGTGGGTAGAACCGCGGAACAGACAGTCCTAGTCAATAAGGAAATGTTGACTCACTGTTGCATTTTCACATCCCTAGGACAGTCGTTGGGATCTAAGCCCGGGAACTCATTCGGGTGCGTCTGTATCGAGTATGGGTAGAAAATTTGCATTACCTGCAACACACACACACACACACATCACCGTCAGTAGATTGGTATATCTATACTAATATATAAATCTACAGTGGTTTTTACGGATGTTCCGTTATAACATATATTTATGTATAGAAGTTGCCTAACGAATTCTTTCAAAATAATTTTCACAGACTTCAAAACATCCAATTTATATGAAATTTTCGACACACATCAAGGACCGATGACAATACAACAATGTTATTAATTTGACCCAAATATTTACCGTTTTTATTTTATATTAAATCCGCATTTATTTATCAATATCTGACGTTAGTCGACATCAAAATTCTTTTTAAGCTATTGCATAGATTTTATCGCGTGCCTTGAGCGCTGCTTGAGAGTGGAATCATGAAATTCCGTAACGAAAAAAACCTTCACTCCACCTATCATGTAGCTTGCCTTTAACACATTCACACGTTGCGCTTGTGTAGTGTTTGTGAATAAGCGCGTGGCGTGACGTGACAGTAAAGGAAAAAAATACTGAATAAATAAAATAAATAAATAATTATAATTACATAAGTTGATAAAAAATGCTATGCAATAGCTTTACCGCGGCAGTCTTTTTTTTTTCTCTCAGTATATAGTCTACGGCATCGACGTTTATGGATTTTAGCTTATCATCGGACGAGCTCGTTGATTAAGATGCTCACAGGACGCACCGTCCAACAACAATAAAACCCTTTTTATTTTGCAAAAGCCAGCACACCCACCTTGGTGAAGTCAATACTTCTTACTAAGCTATTGATTTCTTCGTTGTAATAGTCATGGGAGAATACTAGTAATGTCCTCTCGATGTCTCGAGCCTGGGCCAGGGAGACGATCAGATGACGTAGATACGTCAGTCTTGTGTGTACCTGTAGACGAAAAGGTTCCGGTCAAAATAAATATACCATGAATAGCAATTGTGGTTACGGTGGTGATAGGGTGAAAGGCGATTACATGCAGCAGAGATGCGAATGTTGCGATGGATGTGTGGGGTAACGAGAATGGATAGAATACGGAATGAATATGTTAGAGGAAGTCTGAAAGTGGCACCTGTGACAGAGAAGCTGAGAAGTGCGCGTTTGGGATGGTATGGACATGTGATGAGACGAAATGAAAATGAGGTTGGTAAGAGAGTGTCAACTATGAATGTGGAATGATATAGAGGAAGAGGTAAACCTAAGAAGAAATGGGTGGATTGCGTGAAAGACGATATGTGTAAGAGAGAAGTGAACGAAGAAATGGTATATGATAGAGGAGTATGGAACGAGAAAACATAATGCGCCGACCCCAGGTGACTGGGAGAAGGACAGGAGAATGATGATAGCATTTGTGGTTAGCTATTCGCGGGAATTTTGCACTTAAAATAAATAAATAACACACTATCTTATAAAAACTTCTAATATTTATATAGTATATAGTATTATAATTTTAACAAGAAACGGAGAAGACGAAGCTAGACACTAGGAGAAAGTAATTACGAAGATCTTATTTTTATGTTACACTTTAAATTGGCGCGCGAATTTTGTCGACTGACATCAGTGTGCTTAGTGCGAGTTTTTTAACGTTCTCGATCGCGTAAAAGTTAACTCCAATTTGTATGGAGTTGAAACGTTTGCTTACGTTTGCCGCTAGGGGCGCTGTTCCAACTCCATACAAATTTGAGTTAACTTTTACGCGATCGAGAACGTTAAAAAGCTCGCACTAAGCACTTTGATGATATCAGAGTATTCGGGAATTCCCATTGCGCTCGATTACGTGGGACGAGGGACATTTATTTATTTAGACACACCACACCAATACACACAAAACATTCAAGCTTAAAATTAACATGTATAAAATTAAGTACTACTATGTAAGTATTTTGTAGGCAGCGGCTTGGCTCTGCCCCTGGCATTGCTGAAGTCCATGGGCGACGGTAATCACTCACCATCAGGTGGGCCGTATGCTCGTCTGCCTACAAGGGCAATAATAAAATTAAAAAAGCCAGTTACAGGCATGTACAGCAATCTCTTATAGCAAGCACACTATGACATGTTACAGCAATTTTTGAGATGATGCACGCTACACATTTAAATATAGTTTATTGTGGGTATGTGATTTAATGATTTCCTTGTCAAATTCTTCGGTCGACGAGCGAACTAATCCATGACCCATGACAGTTTCTTGTCGGAGCTTTTGAGTGCGAATGACAAGAACGAATTAGATCAACTCATTTCAAAAACTAAAAACACGACAGAAATGCAACCTTATCCGAAACTACATAAGACTCAAGAACTTAAATCATATTTATTTAATTTAACCTAAATTACAATTTTACCGTCGTAAAGAATTTAACCCCAAACAAAAAATCGTCCCAGATTTCTAATACAGAACTAATTAACAATTAAAACATGAATATCCGACCTTATTGTTTTCGAAGACCGAGTTTTTATTATCAAATCTTACAGACATTATCGTGTCACACGAATTGTCATCTAGAAGTGGCGAAAAGCTTTTGTTACAATTTTACTTAAGTATATCAAACAAAAAGGTATGTCATTTTATTATGTAAGTGAGTTCAAGCATAAAATTATATATATATGTTTATCGAAGGATGAAAGGGTATTTATTGGCAACTTTATAGGAGAGCCATTTAAAGTTAAAGAAAAAATATCATAACAAAAAAACTTCTTCAGCTATTTGAATGGGGTGAACATAATTGAAGTTCAATTAAAAACATCGAATTGTTCATGCCAATACCAAATAAAACGAACCTGTAATTACAAAAATATAAATGTGGCGACGGTAGCGGCATGTAGATTCAACCGACAATAATCCCTAGTCGGTCAACAATAACTATTCGAGTCTGGCTGAGACAGTACTCACAGATTACCGACTGAAGGAATGAATGAATGTTCTTAGCGTTATTTATATTTGACGCATTAGTTTTTAAGCTATTGCATAGCTTTTATCACAGACTTTGAGCGCAGCGACCGAATCAAGAAATTCCGTAACGAAAGTAAAACCTAACACCCCCACTCCGCTTACCATGTAGCTCGCGTTCAACACATTCACATGTTGCGCTTGTGTAGTGTTTGTGAATAAGCGCGCAGCGTGACTTCGCACTGTATGCGCATCATGAAAATTCTGCACATCTCTTTCTCGCGCGGTCTAGCTTATGAGTGTGAAGGGGACAGTTAATGTTTTGCTTTTGTTAATGTTTATAAAAATAGCGTAGTTTTATTTTATTATTGTTTTAATATTAAATTATTATTGTCTGATTACAATTGCAATAGTCGATAAAAAATGCTATGGAATAGCTTTACCGCGGTAGTCCCCGGATGTCACTAGTGTTTTTTTTATAATTATTATTATTATTGTATAGATGAGTGAAAGTGAACGAGCTCTCAGCTTATCCGATATTGAGTGGTAGGCCATAGACATGAACAACGCAAATGTCTTCACCCAACTTAAGACGTGAGTCGCATCGCTCGATTCGAATGCACCGGGCGTCTTAACATACGAGCCACGATTTCAAAATTTAAAATATGCCCTACCATTCAGGTTACCCATACACGAACAATGCTCAAAAGAACAATAATTCCACGTCGCGTGCCATCCTTGATTGTGCCGGCACGGATACCTAACTTCCCTTCACCCGACAAAAGTACCTGCGCTGAATGCTCTTGCTATCCAATTGAGGAGCCATATCAGAAGAACAAGTAAGATTAACAGTTTTGCAGCGTATTTGCGATTCGGTACAGGTTACCGATCAGTTCATTACTATAGCGAAGCAGCTGGACGGCCTTATGATGAGGTTAAGACGCGAAGACTAATGCAAGAATCACTTGTGGTAACAGATGCCTATATACTTATCGTAAATACCGACACTCATTTCAAGACATGAGCTCAGTGTCTCGGTGTCGTATTGTATGACTTTTTGACACACTTTTTAAGCCGCCCTAAATACGACGGATCCATTTGGTATATTCTCGGTGCTGTCGGACACTGCTAGTTCTAAAGCTAGCAGCGGTCAAGCAGTAGTTCGTAGATTTTGACGTGACATTTAAGCAATAGATTCAGGATTGAGTTCATCCACTCATTATGTTGAACGCAGAAAAGGCAAAAAAAGACAAAAAGGTAAAGGCAGATAAGGTCATCCATCCATCCATAAAATAGATTTTAAATCGGAAAGAATAGCTGCTTCTTGAGAGAAAAAGGTAGGCTTTACCCAGCCACAGGCCTCTCAACACTACGGCACCACTAGCAATAAAAGCTGAATTACAACTCTATAATAGCTTGAAATACGACTTCACCTTTTGTTGATTGTTATCATTTTATTTCTAACACCAATAGAAGTGAGATTTATAAGTATCCTTAAAATCAGGCTCGGAGGAACAAACCTAAACAGTACGATTATTACACGAAGCTAATCTGAAACACGTAAATTAAAACTTCAACGATTAATCTTTACAATTTGAAAGGAATTTTTTCGTATGCCGTTACAGAAAATTGAAGCCTTGCCAGATATCTCCGTTAACTCTGTACGAGCTGGCGGCTAATGTTGTCGATGCACTGAGTTTTCCGATAGCTTTTAAATGGACAGAAGAGGAAGTGGCCAGCTGGGCAGAAGACATTGGCTTTCCTCAATATAAGGTTTATAAACGGTTGACAGTTGTTTTATACAGGCACAATAGAACCATGACGTGTAGTGAAAACACGTGGTAACATTTTTCTTGACTCGTTAATATAAAGAACGTGATGGAAACACTATGAATGTTCGATTTCTAACGGCGCGCATTGTAAGACAACAAAGGTTACCACGGTCGGGGTCAGTGAACTTGTGTGACACATGACGGTCGTTTGCAGGTCACACGTTCGTGTAAAATATATTATTTATTATTTATTTATTTATGTACACACAGAAAACAAGACACAGTACAGAGTAATAGGAAAATTATGTACAAAGGCACTGCTTATTATATCTTTGACAGCTAAAGGTTTAGTTTCATTTTGTGTCTTACATTTTTTTTTTTATAGAAAACTTGGACGATAATTTGTACAAAATTATTGATAATTGAAACTCGTTAGTGATTACCATAATAAACACAACAGCAAAACGTTGCATGACTAGGAAAAGTGGAGAGGAATTTTTATTCAGTGGGGCCCTAACAAGAATAGGAAAAAGAAAAATTTTGTAATACTATGTATATTACTTGCTTAGATTCTTTATTATTTTGATATCCATTTCTGCTATTCGACGACAGATGGCCTTACCAGTACTGGCATAACAATACGTATTGTGCTCTTCATTAAATATATTTGCTTGTAATAGAACACTTTCCAATTATCCTATGTATTTTCAGGAATGTTTCACTGATAACAACATTAACGGGCTGAGATTATTGATGTTTGAGGACCCATCGAATTTACCTTGTATCGGTATACACGATTTTATCCATATTTTAGTAAGTATGTTTGCGAAGTCTGCACTTTTCATATGAATTACAATTGTTATTTGACAATTGTTTGAAGTGATACTCTCGTTCAATCATCTCGTTTTTACCATCGTACCGCCCTCCACTGAAGTGGAGTTCATCCATACTACCTGGAGCCACTGCGTTCATCCACAGTGCCTTTCCAGAGATCATTTTAGCCACGTACCATCCGGCTTTGGAATGAGCTCCCCTCCACCGTGTTTCCCGAGCGCTATGACATGTCCTTCTTCAAACGAGGCTTGTGGAGAGTATTAAACGGTAGGCAGCGACTTGGCTCTACCTCTGGCATTGCTGACGTCCATGGGCGACAGAAGCCACTCACCATTAGTTGAGCCAAATGCTCGTCTCCTTATAAGGGAATTAAAAAAAAAGTCAAAATAAAAACAAAAAGACTTTGTATATATTTTCAGAAAATAACATCGCATATAAGAGCTTTATTCGGAACAGAATTCATTAGATTTTCGAGGAGCATAGGATTGCCGCCTAGGAAGCCACTCACTCACTGCACTTGGTTCAAATCTCGAACTGGTCCTGACTGGGGTATCCGAGAAAACTGGACTAGGTTTGGAACCAACTCCTAATCTAAAATGGTTATTTTCTATGGAATTTTTGTAGAGGCCCAAAGAAATGAGGAATTACAAGTTGAGGCTCGTAACAGTACGATCGATCGAAGAACATCGATTAAATCAATATATCAAATCAACACAAATCAAATAAAATAAAAAAAAATCAACATAAATGAAAGTACCTACATACTTGTTGAACGTCAAAAAGAACTACCGCCAATTCACAAAATGTAGCCTCCGTCCTTAGAAGAAGAACTGGCAAGAAACTCAGCAGGCATATTAAGATTCGATTTTTTTTTAAATATTAATCAATTTAATTAATTTAATTTAACTCTATGTGTATTTTAATCTAGTAACTAAATTTGACGATCGAAATATACTTCTTCATAAATAAAGCTTAATTTGAAAGATTTTAGCCACTTTAGAGAGTGGTGTCGCTATTGGTACAGATTTTAGATAAACATTGGAAAAAAAAAATGTTTTTTTTTTTGGCTTAATGAAGACTTAAATTGGTTGGAAGTCCTACAAAATGAAAAGTTTCGGTTAAAGCTTTGCATTAAATTACTTTTATTATTGCCATATATTTTGATTGGGGATTGATAAATTTATTTCAGATCCGACGTCCTCCGTTGGATGAAGATCCTGATGCCTGAGCCATTGAAGATAGATCATTGGGATTTGGTCTGGTAATATTGATAAATGCAACTGCCTTAATTGGTTTGCGATGAGTGGACCCTGGTCGAATTCTGGTTAGACCCAAGCATCGCTGGATGACGTGACAATATTCAAGTTGAAACCAAATTCGGTTTTCTACGAGCCAGCGCAATTCTGGATTCATAAGGCGATACTGTTGTAATGTTATCGAGATATATCGCCAATACTGTGTAGACATCGCTTCCAACGGCCAAGAAATAAATAGACAAATTGCAACAGTTCCCTTGATTTTGTATTGCTTTATTTACAACTCCACTTGTGCAATCTTTAGATATCTGCTCACTTCATAATATACCGCTTTTTTTCCGTTTTCCCAGACTACCGCCCAGTGGCGGATTAAAGGTCCAACGCGTCCTAGGCAATCACTTTATCGGCGCCCCTGTAACGGCCATAAATGGCCATCATAATACTACAAATTTTAATTAATTGTTTTTGCAATTACGATGACGTTGTATCATCAAACCCTAGACTTTAGTAAACCAGGGCATTTAGTTCAGGCATTTAGTTCTTAATCATCGATATGTTATTTTCTCTTTTTATTTAAAAATTCTGAGCTCGCGCGCCCCTTGTAACTACACGCCCCTAGGCACGTGCCTAGTTTGCCTTACGGATAATCCGCCTCTGCTACCGCCTTTGTTATTGTCTCGTCCCTACTACTACCATTGCTTCCACAACAGTGTCGCTATTTGGCAATCTTCAAAATTGTCTTAATTTTAACATGCTCAATTTTATATCAGTTATTTTACAACAATCCTTACAACTGTAACCTATCTTTGGTTCCAAGATACCAAAGATATAATTTTCGACGTTTCGAATACTGTTCAGTTTTCTTTGTCACCGACGACTTAAGTATTGTTGGTGGACATTTGAATAATTTGCTAACTACCGTTATCTTCGTTTTATTATATTTCCAAGCTAATACGTTTCTTTTCACACAGAATTAATTGAAAGCATTTTGAAGTATTGGATTTGGGTTATATGCCTTATCCAAAATTTTCAAAAAAATACGCAGTTACCTCTGCCTGTCGTTTATTGTAACAATACTTTCAGGTATCAAAAGCCGGATTTTCCAAGAGTCGTTATTGCGAGAACGAAAAAAATACAATCAGATGTCAAAATACCGCATTACAAACCTTTTAAAGATATCTGCAAGGAATATACGGTAATTTCCGTCATCATCATTATCACCATCATCAGGCCACAGTCGTCCACTGCTAGATATACCAACAGTATGACTGACTGTGGCCTGATGGCCTCTCCAAATCCACATCAATGAGCCCGGTCTTCGGCTCTCCTCATCAACCTCTTGCCGGCTACCCTCCGGAGGTCATCGCACCACCTAACCAGGTAATTTCCATATTGCCTTTGGAATACAACAAAAATAATTTTGTATTATTTAAATTAGGTAGATTAATAGTCGATTCCCGCAAAACACAATTAATATTCTATTAATATTATGTGACGTGTTCATCTATTGCCATATACATATTGATACTCTGTCATGTCATCTGCACTGCTTTGTCACTGCATATGCCTTTTAGTTACTTTACTTGAAACCTCTGGTATTTTAATACGCTTTTATTAGCTTCAGACGTATGTATGTTTGTAACGGAATCTTTGAACATGATTTCGACCCTCTTAAAAACGTCGGATTAACTCGAAATTTAGTACCTATACTTATTAAGGACCGATGACAGTTAAATATTAAAAAAAAAAAATGAAAAGAAAAATATAATTGAAGAAATTGAAATTCAACTAAAAAATGAAAAATAAATAATAGTTTAAAAAAACTAACAAAATAAGCTTTTATAGAAAATCCAACTAAAAAAGTAGAAGGGTTATTTTGATGGTGCTTTTCAGGATATTATCAAAATAACCCTTCTACTCATATCTGGTCATAAAATATTTATAACTACTGATACCATGCACACCACGCTTTTTTACAATAAAATCATTTTTTCTTACATTATTTTTAATTCAAATTTATTTTCTATTATTTTAGATGGATTTTCTATAAAAGCGTATTTTGTTAGTTTTTTTAAATTATTATTTCTTTAAAATTTATTTTCTGATATTGCTTTAATACTTCATCATTAATTGTTAATTCTACCCACAATTTTGCTGTTTTACGTTTGCCGGACCTCCAGTGACATGAACATCTTTTCTAATCCCAATAAATAATACATGAAGCAAAAACTTTCTACCCCTTTTTACTATAATTGCGCGGACGGAGGAGTATAAAATTTCCCACACTTATAGAGAATATAGCGAAGGAGTGCCGAATGATAATTTTTTTTTAAATTATGCATTAATACTACTTTAAATCAATAAAAAAAAAACGTTACACACACTACCATATATTTGACACACACGCATATGAATACTCTATGTTTATTGTCAAACTTTTGTTGCTCCGTTAGTTTGTGATCAAATTGAGAATAGGTTAATATTGTTTATTTGTCTATAGTGTAGTCTTGGCGAATTCTGTGATTATAGAAGTATTTTAGTCTTTGACAATAGTCTTTGGCAAACCATAATAACGTTCAAATTTATAATTTCAATTAGGTAATTATAGTCGAATTTCGACTACTGCGGGACCACTAGTCCTAGTTAACGTACATAAGGCTATCTATACTTTTCAGGTATTTGTATTTGATAAGACTGATAATACTTTACAGATTCCTCGTAAATTTCGTTTTCAAACCGGCATACGCGACGAAGACCAACTGATTTGGATGGAAGATAGAACTCGCGAAACGAACAGGCAAGCTTTATTGAGAATAGAAGAAACCGACTCCGATAGAATGTCGATGGAAAAGGACACACAAATTGATAAAAGAGTTTTAAAAGGAAACAAATTTAAGGAAAGCAGACTGGTACCCAAGTTCACGAATCTGAAGGGCCTACGCGGCAAACAGTTGATATTGGCTCGAAGAAAAACACCCAGACCAAAATTCTTTGCTACTTAATGCATTTAGCAAATGTGTTTGTTGTTTATTATATGAATTCAATTTTTAACGAATATTACTTTTAATACCACATTGGCGCAGTTGCCGACGATACCTTTTTTTATTGCTTTGTTGGATAGACGAGCTTACAGCCCACCTGGTTTAAAGTGGTTATCGTAGCCCATAGACAGCTACAACGTAAATGCCGCCACCTACCTGGAGATATAAGTTCTAAAGTCTCAGTTTTTACAGTACAACGACCGCCCTACCCTTCAAACCGAAACGCATTACTGCTTCACGGCAGAAATAGGCAGGGCGGTGGTACCTACCCGCGCAGATTCACAAGACGTCCTACCACCATTAATAAGCTTCGAAGCGAAAACCTGTCTTTAAAACCTGGTAGCGTAAATACCCCTCATCTTTACTCACAATACGGGCCCCCTCAATCAGCTAGGCTTACCTGTATGGCAATAATGATGGTGTCATTCTGTACCGGCCCGTATATGTCCTCATTATAAATGTATTGCGCTTCGTTGCTCCTCTGTATCGCTTTGCGAATTTCAGTGAGATTCTTAGAAACGGCTCTCTCTGTGGAGTTGACTGAAAGAAATAATTGGCGAATTTTATTGAATGATTTCTTTTTTTAAATATTCCTCTCAAGAAATATGGACTTTGGTAATCGCAACGGGTCTTACGGGGATATTGTCTGAAATCACTATTCTTTTCTATGGTTAAAGTTAAATATTCGTGTGGCGATAACTGTCAAATCATTTGGGAGATCTTTGAAAGAGCATATCAATCGAGGAGTGAATGACAATTTTTTTGGCTTAAGTGAAATTTTTGCAACTTTACAGGAGAGCCATTTAAAGTTTAAACATTTGGAAAAAAAAAAACATAACAAAAAAACTTCTTCGGCTATTTGAATTGAGTAAACTTAATTGAAGTTCAATTAAAAACATCGAACTGTTGATGCTGATACCAAATAAATCGCACTTTTAATTACAAATATAAATGTCTCGTTTTAAGCGAAATGCCGCTTAAGCCAAATAGCCTTTTAAGCCTTCGTCAAACAGAACGCGTACTTAGCGCCGCGTACTTAACGTCGCGCTCTTCAAATTGACTAGATGAGTCTAACGCTCCTTGACGCAACGCATTCGCCAAATCATAGTGCCTTTCGATAGCAGTGTGAAAATTTAAAAGTATTAAGAAATCGAGTGATTCAGATGTGGCATTGTATAAGCATGGGTATTTTCTAANAGCCTTTTAAGCCTTCGTCAAACAGAACGCGTACTTAGCGCCGCGTACTTAACGTCGCGCTCTTCAAATTGACTAGATGAGTCTAACGCTCCTTGACGCAACGCATTCGCCAAATCATAGTGCCTTTCGATAGCAGTGTGAAAATTTAAAAGTATTAAGAAATCGAGTGATTCAGATGTGGCATTGTATAAGCATGGGTATTTTCTAACTATTTATATTATTTTTTCGGGCATTATCTAGTATTTTAATACACATTCACTCGGAGGCTAAAATAAAATTTGTAAAAAATTACAACGCCTGACGTCAAAGCGTCCCAACGCCGCGACAGAGCGCTGCGTACTTATAGCGCTGGGGCTCTATACTACGCTACGCTACGCGTTCGGTTTGACGAAGGCTTTAATAAAGCCGACAAACAGACCGTATTTTCTAAATCGGTAGTTTTTAAGTCTAACGCCGAGACAGAAATTTACGGTTTTCATTATGCGGACCGTACGCACGGAATTGCGCCGGATCTTCTCAGTGGGTAGCGTTTCCGATCCGGCGGTAGATTCTGAGAAGCACTGCTCTTGCTAGGGTCAATGTTAGCAACACTCCGGTTTGAGTTCCGTGATCTCACCTACATTTTATGGCGAAGCTGAAATATCCTCTCAAGGCTATCAGCATAGGTAGGAGAAAAAAAAGTGGCACATACATTGTACAAAAAGAAAAAACGGAATTTCCATAAAAACTCACCACTTGAGTTCTTCGGGTGCACCGTCAGATACTTGTGCAGCTCGGGGGGGACCAGGGCTAGCACTTGTTCCGACGTGTCGTTCGAATTCATCAGCTCTTCTGCAAACATTACATCCAGCTGTTATTCATATAGTTCACGATTTAGTCCACAGATGGCCTTTTCGTTGATTTATCGTGATTTCTGACCGGAAAAAGTAGGTACCAAAAGCTATCTGAATACACATTCCGAAGTAGTATCAGATTATTAATTAATTTTTTTATAACCTTACAACTATTTTTACAGGTATCACCTAATGCAACAGGGTAGTAATCACAACAGCAATCAAATTTACAATTATTATTTCAAAGATACACATTTGATGTACTCTGTTACCATTGTTGACAATTCTAGAGACGATTACCCTCCAAATAGTCTTAATTATAAAATACCAGTCTTCCATCCTAAAACCTTTCATCGAAAATAAGCTGTTAGTTTCGCCGCCTCTTTTAAAATTAATGAACATTTTTATTTAACAATACAATATTAATACATAACGATAAACAACATTATTCACACATATTATATATAGATCACACACAATTAGGGTTGCCAGACCTCCCGTATTTCCCGGGTCGTCCTGTATTTTAGGCTTAGTTTAAAATATCCCGGTGGGACTGAATCTGTCCCGTATTCGAACCGTACGATTATAATCGTATCGATTTTTATAAATATGTTAACACCGATAAAAATATGTTAAAACTGACTTGCTCCTCGGAAAAATATCAAAAAATAATAATAATAATGTCACTATATAATTTTGTTTTTCATTTGTCCCGGGTAAAAAACTAAAATCCCGTATTGTTTTAAGCCCCTTATAGGTTAAAAAAAAAACTGGCAACCCTACACATAATGCACAAATAGTAGCTCCCCAAGTTCATCACAGACCACGCAAAGCGATGTATACCATGATAAGACATCATTAAAGAACAAAATCGCAGTACACACTGTAGATTTCTGTTTTTTTTTCCTACAAAAATCACTGGTCCTTTTTATGGTTCGAGTTACCGCGACTCACCTTTGGAAATATATTTTTTTGCTTGCCTTTAATTAGATTACACATTAAGGACGCTAATATACCGCCCAAGATAATATAAAACAGATTCATATTACGACCGTTCTGACGTGCGACAGTCCAATTTTAGTTGGATCTTGAGGATCGAGGAAATCGCGGGATTTTCAAAGCACACGGGCCGATGCGGCGACGGTCTGATGAATTTGAGATCCCCTGCTAATTAAAATTTCGAGAAAGGGACCAAGGGAACAAAGACGGCCATACGAGAATTCGTCGTGGCCTAAAGGATAAGACGTCCGATGCATTCGTATCTAGCGATGCACCGGTGTTCGAATCCCGCAGGCGGGTACAAATTTTTCTAATGAAATACGTACTTAACAAATGTTCACGATTGACTTCCACGGTGAAGGAATAGCATCGTGTAATAAAAAATCAAACCCGCAAAATTATAATTTGCGTAATTACTGGTGGTAGGACATCTTGTGAGTCCGCACGGATAGGTACCACCATCCTGCCTATTTCTGCCGTGAAGCTACTGCTTCACCGCTGCTGCCGCTGTTGGTGGGGCAGCCGTTATAACTATACTTAGACCTTAGAACTTATATCTCAAGATGGGTGGCGCATTTACGTTGTGTATGGGCTCCAGTAACCACTTAACGCCAGATGGGCTCAGAACTCGCCACCCACCTAAGCAATAAAAAAAAATGTTTGTTTGCCCTTAAACGTCGTCACTATTGACTTTATGTGAACACTAGCAACCCGCCCTCGCTTCGCTTCTCAAACTGTAATTTATTATTGATTTCTCCACTATTTAATGGATGTTATTATACATATAAACCTTCCTCTTCACTTCCCTATCTATTAAAAAAAACCGCATCAAAATCCGTTGCGTAGTTTTAAAGATTTAAGCATACACAGGGACAGACAGATATAGGGACAAAGAAAGCAACTTTGTTTTATACTATGTAGTGATACGCTTTAACCAATATTTTTATTTATTAAGGCCGACTTAAACTTCTTAAGACTTCTTATGGTTTTTTTATTAATAACCTCAAAACAATTGTCTTTTAACGACTCAAATAATGAACGTAAAAACGTAATTATTAATGAACCTTTAAGAACAGTGAACAGTTAGAAATATTTAAACTGATCCACGTAACTATTCTAAACGCTAAAAATTAGTCAAGCTTTGACGTGTCTATCGCGAAATGTACGCTTTTTTTACACAGCACTCGCTCGCTCCGTTATTTGTGATGGTGCTTTTTTTATGAAAGGATAACTGATGCAGATGACTAGACCTTTTCAGTTTCTCCAGGACAGGTGGGCGAGCATGGGCCAGGATTAGGATCCATGGTACCATGCCCGATACCATTACCATAAATATTACCAGGCCCGTATACTGAGTGCCATCTTGTAACTCATTATCTTCACCTTTTAGTTGTGTCGAAATACTTGCTATCCCGCTCCGACACGTGGTAAGCTCCGTAAACGAGCAGGACAACGAGACCGGTCGTAATTTAAATGAATGTGATTATGAATCAGTTAATAATTGACAAAGTATTGCCTACATCAAACTTGATTAGTTTGGCGAGACAAACCGGTTTAAACAAATTCCAACCAGTTCTTAGTTGTTGGTGATAATAATATCACTATAAGTGTACCTATCACACCAAATGTAGGATTTAAAAATGTTTAATCCCGTAAATGTGAGAGGAAAGTTGGCGAGTGGCGATCGCGCACCGGAATACGCGACATCGTTAGGCCTTCCGCGTGGTGGTCTGATGAGCTTCTCAGTTCCGGGGAATCCCCTGGACTGGCCATTGTAGCCAATCTTGGGGCAAGCCTATGGCAGATGCGGACGTCCGTCACAGATTATGACAACAATAACGCGTGAGGTTAAAAATAAGAACGTTTAATAGAGATTTTAAGTCAATCTTCGCACTTGATCCTTTGTTAAATCATCCGATATTACCACGAAGCGATTGAGCGACGATTTTTATATATATTTTAGATATATAAATCCAGACGTACCAACCACTTCGGTGCCCAAACGCTCTAACGCTCCTAAGTGTGTGGCTGTAGACATGATAGAACAAAAAAGATATCATATACAAAACCCACGGAGTTTCTCGCCGGATATTCTCACTGGGTCGCGATTCCGATCCGGCGGTAGATTTAGCGAAGCACTGCTCTTGCTAGGGCCAGTGTTAGGTTAGTTTCGGAGCGTCGGTCTATCGAGCAATGTTACCTGCTCGGTGAAAAATCTTCACCCCTCCTTAAGACCAAGCCAATCGGAGTACGAGAATCAATAAATAATAATTATTAAAACAAAACCAACGTTATTCGATCCAATCTAATCGAGTGGTATTCGCAAAACACGTTCTTCTTATATCTTTTTATATTATAAAGCATCTATACAAACAGTGAAGTATTTTGCTCACTTTTATTTGTCTGCAGCATATATTTTTTTATTAATATCAAACGGCTTTTGTGTTTGCAATAAATAAATAAAAATAGTCTTATTTTTTTAAACATCTGTTACAAGACGAAAAAAGACAAAGTAATGAAGGAAATTACTTTTTTTATGATTGAAGGATTATTGGTGGCGCGGAGGCCTTTTCAATTTTTCCAGGACATGTGGGCGAGCAAAGGTTCGGCCAGGAAGGGTGGGGTTTGCTAATAGCTGCCCGAGCGCCTCCAAAGGAGAAAATGACTGTATCAGGTTCATCCCGTGAGCTCATCTACCCACCTGTACGCGCGTAGTTTGAAATAACCCCTCAGGCTACCAACAATTAGGTAGGGGTAACCAAAAAACGAATCTAAATCCTGAGGTGTCAGTCATTACGGTCGTATTTCGACCGTCGAACGAATAATGCTAATTAGAATTTAACTATACATACAGAGTTACAGTTCGTTGAACACTCCTAAATAATACATAGACGTAATTAGGGCAATTTAGGTTGGACATCCCTTGTGGATCCGACAATTCGATGTCTGCACGCGACCCGTGATGAGATCACAAATACCCGTAAGAGTTTATTAATGACTATTAGCAATATACACGAGCAATAGGTGGGGAAAACGAAAACTGTAAGTTTTTCGAAACATTGGGAATCTATATATTAATACGTGAAGCAAAAACTTTGTATTCCTTTTTACGAAAATTGCGCGGATGAAGGAGTATAAAATTTCCCACACTTATAGAGAATATACCTAGATAAAGAGTGCAGAATGCTAATATTTTTTAAAAATTATACATTATAAATACATTAAATCGTATTTGACACACACATACTCTCTGTTTATTGTCAAACTTTTGTTATTGCTTAGTCTGTGGTCAAATTGAGAATAGTTTACTAATGTTTATCTTTAAAATTATTTGTCTATAGTGTAGTCTTGGCGAAATCTGCGATAGTAGAAGTATAATAGTGTTTGACAATAGAACCATAATAATATTCAAAATTATAATTTCAATTAATTATAGTCGAATTCTCGAAATATAGTCGTACTGGCAAGCGCAGTGTGGGACGGCCACCTACGAGATGGACCGACGACCTGGTAAGAACCGCTGGGTCACGTTGGATGCAGGTGGCAACGGACCGGCCGCACTGGAGATCACTTGGAGAGGCCTATGTTCAGCAGTGGACAATGGACAGGCTGAGATGATGATGATGATGATAGTCGAATTCCGACTACTGCGGGACCACTAGTAACAAAAGTAATATATCGAGGGATGAAAAGCATTTGGTTTAAGCAGCTTTTCGCTTAATACGCGACATTTATCTTTGTAATTAAAGGTGCATTTTATTTGGTATCTGTTAGCATCAACAGTTCGATGTTTTCAATTGAACTTCAATTAAGTTTACTCCATTCGAATAGCTAAAGAAGTTTTTTTGTTACGATATTTTTACCAAATGTTTAAATTTTAAATGGCTCTCGTGTAAAGTTGCAAAAATGTCGCTTACTTCACAGTTTTCGTGATCACGGACGAATAACTTACGTTAGTTGTCGCCATTTTAATTTACATTTCTTTCTAACTACCGTCTTTAAAATTAATTTAATGGACGCCAATAAATTAAAGCCTAAAAATAGTTTCGATTACTATGTCATCGACTCGCGTTAGTTGACGAAAAAAATCAGTGTTTAAATACATTTTTATATAGCATCCATGAAAGGTCAATGATAAAATAAAATACCAACAATCTTTTTTTGACTGTTATTTTGGCTACGGCATTTTTTTGTTACTAACGTCATCGGGTTGACGAACTCTACGTTCGCGGCGTTAATTTAAGAGCATTGTTTTTAATCCTTTGAGCGCGAGCCGTCGATAGATCGACGCTCTATTAATCCATTATACAGTGCGGAGCATCGAAATACCGACTATTTGCACAGATTGATTATAAAAACAGTATAAGACCTGTACGGACGTGTTTTAGCGCACGTATAAAGTTTTTGATAAGTTAATATACAAATAACCATTTAAAATTATTATTATACTGTTGAAATATAATATGGATTAATGTTCAAGTTTTTAATAAGGTACTTTTTAAGGTATTGCATAGCTTTTATCGCGAGCTTTGAGCGGCGACCGATTCAAGAAATTCCGTAACGAAAATAAAACGAAATAAGCGTGACGTCGCACTGCATGTGCATCATGAAAAGTCTGCCTATCTCTCTCTCGTGCGGTCTAGCTTATGAGTGTGAAGTGGACAGTTAATGTTTTGCTTTTGTTATTGTTTATAAATATAGCGTGGTCTTATTTTATTATTGTTTTAATATTAAATTGTTATTGTCTAATTATAAATGCATAAGTTGATTAAAAATACTTTACGTACATATTAGGCCAATAGTATTTGTTAATGTTAAAACATGATATTGAAGTCAAAGTAACTGGAAAATTTCATAATCCTCCGTCCGCGCAATTTTCGTAAAAAGGGATACAAAGTTTTGGCTTCACGTATTAATATATAGATTAACACGGCATCGTCCCGCACGTTTTCTTTGTATTCGTTATTTTAACGCACAATCGCCCGGGTGTTAATACGGTAGATTTTCATTCGTGTAAAAACGAACGTGTGAACGAGACAGTTCATTCGATTTGCTTGGCAAGTCCGTTGACTATTCGTTTGAACGCATAAGCGGTGTACGATTTTTTGCGGTACAAACGACATGTGAATGGTTCTATGTACAATGTATGTGCCACTTTTTTTTCTCTTACCTATGCCGATAGCCTTGAGAGGCTATTTCAGCTTCGCCCCAACGTGTAAGTGAGCTCACCGGGCTCAAACCACAAGTGTTGCTAACACTGGGCCTAGCAAGAGCAGTGCTTCGCAGAATCTACCACCAGATCGGAAACGCGACCCATTAAAAAGAACCGGCGAGAAACTCAATGGGCTGTGTCTATGGGTTAATTCACTCGTCGAGCCCTTCGTCACAAGCGACGGGTACGGCGAGGACGGTGACCGGTGCTTGAGATACCTAAAAGCACCGTTAATGGTTCGGGAGGATCCGTAATGACGTGTGTATGTGCCACAATTCATTCGTTAAGACGTATGCTGCAAATAAACGTGCAGGCATTGTGAACCCAGCCTTACTGTATGCGTAACGAATAGCGAAGGGGTGTAGCTGCTCAAAATCCGTACAAAATATGAGTGAATACAAGTTTTTCACCGAAGCCATTCCGATATTGGGACCTTAAGTTTTTCACCAAAGCCATTCCGATATTGGGACCTTAAGTTTTTCACCAAAGCCATTCCCATATTGGGACTTTACCGATTCCGAAACGTGAAAACATAAATGAAAAAAATTATTGACAAAAAAAAACAAAAAAAATAATGGAAAACCGAGTTCAATTAAAATTAAAATGAGAATATCACCACCAATGTAGTCGAAGTTAATTAAACACTGTAGAGTCTGAGTTATTGACTACTGATTAAATCTTGATAAAATGCAAATCCACCCGCATTTGAAAGAAAAAAAATAACATCAAAATCGGTTCACCTAGAAACAAGCTGAGGTAAGACACATACAAAAAAACAAACAAATAGATAACCTCCTCATTTTTTTTTGAAGTCAGCTAAAAATCGCATTAAATTAACAACCAAGCAAGACGCCACTAAACAAATAATACATTTATATGTAGGAAAAAGATGAAGATATAATAAAATAAAAATAAAAACTAAATATTAAACCTGTATATGGCACAATCACTTCCGTGACTTTATATTCGGTCAGTGGGTTAGCTGTTAGGGGAACTTGGTCATCTGAAAATTAAATATTAATTGGTTGGTTAAAGTGTGAATGAGTTCGAGGTTCATTAATTGGTTTTAAGGGCGCATTTACATTGACCGATAATGTTTGTTTTCTTCAATCGAATCGTTTTCATTTCTCAAACCGAGAAAGCTTTTGTTTTTAACTTATATTGGCTAGAGCTTCGCTGAATCTATCACTGGATCGGAAACTCGATCCACTACGAAGGTGAGCTCACGGGGCTCAAACCTGACGATAGTGCTAACACGAACCCTAGCAAGAGCCGTGCTTCGCAGAATCTACCACCGGATCGGAAACACGACCCACTGAGAAGATCCGGCGAGAAACTCAGTGGTCGGTGTCTGTGGGTTAATTTACTCGCCTAGCCCTTCCTCGCAAGCGACGGGTTCGACGAGAACGATGACCGGTATTCCGAGCGAGTGGGAAATTCAGTCGGCTATGTCTGTGGGTTAAATTGCACTTCAAACCCTTCGTATGACTCTTGGAAATGACGCTGAGAAAGCCTAGCACCGAGAGTGGGTCAGCAAGACCCAAAATGACGTAAAACAACTAGCTTCGTTCATTCGAAGATTCATTCTTGTTATCATAGCACTAAGGACTATATCGAAATTTGAGTGAAAGTTATCGTAACTGATGTAATCTGGGAAGAAGCTGCACATACGATTGGTGGATTTCTGTACAGGGAACAACCGCATACCGACCGAGAAACGAATCAATGAAATTGCGCCCTTAATGATAGATATAGAAAGATGCGATTTGAAAGAATAGTTACTACATGATTTAATTAGTACCCAATCAATATCGAAGGAGCTAAGTTTATTAGGTTAGTGCTGGAGCTATGGTTTTACAAGGTATATTAATTTAGTCAACGCATGAGATAACCCATGAAACTGCAATAGAACCAAATGGTTCCAGTTGAAACTGAAATAAATTTGAAATGACGATTGTTTGTGCGTAAACTGTTTCTACTTTGTCTTAACCGAAATTCAACCTCAGTATAGGGGCGATATAAAACTGAGCTCAAAATATTGTTACGCGCAGGGGTTCGGGATAAATAAATGGTCCACCAAAGTACAACATAAAACTGTATTTATCACTTAGAACACTTTAAAATTCTCAATTCACTTCTTCCGTTTCGCTTCAGGAGATCCGTTCGCTGTTTCGCTTCGAGTAGTTCCATTTACTAACTGACTGCGTGCCATCTCTGCAACGCTTTTATAGTCAAGACGAAATTCCTAGAATCTTCGAGAATATTCCTCACAAGTCGAGTACCTTCGGTGTATGTATCCGCTATCTGAAATAGGTGGCGTTGTAATCTTCGAGCGTTCTAGATGTTACTAGATTCTTCGATATTCGTTCAGCTATTCGGCGATAGATGGCGTTACTCTTACCGGCATAACAATATATTACATTTATCAGTGGCTGCTTTCGCAAAGATATAACAGCTGGATTTCTGCATCTCGACGTATTTATAAGATTTAATATTAAAACAGCTTGATATCTTAAGTAGCTTTTAAAGATATTAACAACAATAATTCAAGAACACTTGTCTGAGTCAGAGGAAAAACAAAAGTCGGCATCTATGCTAAAGTGCACATCTTAATCGACCAGTACTGCAGTCCTGACTATGCCAGTGACAATCTGTCCAGTGATTACGTTAAACAGTACACCGTTCACCAAGTTTTTTGGCAAAACAAAAGCGGTTTCAATTAAACACCTATCCATTGTAATGTCTAATGGTTCTGGTGCCACTTGGACAAGAGTATACACCGGCTGCGGCGACCCCACATAATTGGATAAGAAAAGTAAAAGAAGCATTTGGTGCCATTTACATCTGGTAATTATGACTCGAGAATCGATTACACGAAATGCCCTTACCCGGTACGTATGTATTAGAATCACCTACAAGAATACCTACCAGTTCTTCTTTCCCTGTCCTAACACGTTTTCAGCCTCAACAAACAAAAGTTAATTGCTTTCAATAATACGACACCGCAAATATTATGGTAATTAAACAGTTACGGCACTAATTGTAAACGCTAATTAGACGAAGGTCGTTCTTGTACATTACTAATAATACGTCATGCTTGTCACTAGATCCCAAATTCGATACATCCATTTCAGTATATGAAAATTTGCAGCCGAGCGTTGAGTGGCAAATTTCACGGCAACTTGGGTGAGTACCATTTGCTTATGTTTTCAGAGATTTGTTTTGCCACGTAGAACGCCCACTGAGTTTTTTCGCCGGATCTTCTCAGTGGATCGCGATTTCGATCCGGTGGTAGATTCGGTGAAGCACTGCTCTTGCTGGGCCAGTCTTGAGCCCGTGAGCTCACCTACCCGTCTGGGCATAGTTGGCATAGCCTCTTAGGCTACCAGCGAATAGGTAGGGGAAAAAAAGTAGTACCATTCGACTTTGGAAATAACTCCCCTCCACGGTGTTCTCCCAAATAATATGACACGGGTTGTGGAGGGAAGTTTTCTTTGCTTAGATGCGTGGACGCGCTCACAGCCCACCTGTTCCAGCCCATAGACATCTACAACGTAAATACGCCACCCACCTTGAGATATAAGTTCTAAAGTTTCAGTATAGTTACAACGGCTACCCCAGCCTTCAAACCGCAACGCATTGCTGCCTCACGACAGAAATAGACGGGATGGTGATACCTACCCGTGCAAACTCACAAGAGGTCTTACCACCAGTGTTCAGCGGTAGCCAATGACTTGGGTGCTGTGTTCCTGACATTGCCGAGTCTGTTAACCATTCAGCAATAGGTGGAGCGTATGCTCTTCTGCCCACTAATGCAATAAAATAATGTTTATTATCAATAATTTATACACAATTAATTAATCCTTTGTAAGGGTGCGGGGTAATGCGATGCGACTAACGAATGAAAACATTCACGTTTAATATTCATGAGTACTATTACCCTTGGGCACAGGTGACTCACTACTTGTCCGCCTCAAATATAAAAAAAGGTTAACAAAATGAACTATCGAAAACTTGTATATTAAATGTCTTCGAGAGATTTCTTGTGATCTTTTGGTGTCCAGCAGCCATGATGGCTTATTAGATAAATCCGTATTATTAGCAGCAGATTGTTGACCAGAGGCTATGCACCATATGCCTATATAGAGTGCTCCAGTATTTTGGTTATATAGCAAGAAAATCCTCTGAAAATCTGGAGAGACTCATAGTGATGAGGAAAGTGGATGGAAGACGATTCAGAGGTCGGAGCCAAAAAAGACGGAGTGACCAAGTGTCCGAGCATCTGGACACCAGACTAAGCCGCGCACTGCACTGTGCCACTGACCGACATTAGTGGCTACAAATCACAAAAAGGTCATAGGCATCACGATGCTCAGCAATGAGCGATCGATTGAAGGAGAGTAGCAGATGTTCTTTTGTACAGAATTCCGTTCAATATGATTAACGCCAATCGTGAGACACGAGTTCAAAGTCTCACCAGAGATTTTATTGGGTATATAATTTTAAATGTTTCAAATCCCCACCTCGAAGAAAGTCCATTCAAAAACTTCCATAATAACAGGCTTTGAGTGAGAACACGAGTATTTTATAAATACTGATGTGAAATTTAACTCCGGTTTTTTTTTCTTCGTAACTATTCGCTGGTGGCCTAAGCTATTCTAGCTGCGCCTGGACGGATAAGTGAGCCCACGGGCTCAACTCGAGAGAATTTGCTAACACTGGCCCTAGCAAGAGCAGTACCAGATGTTAATTGATTTAAAAATATATTTTTTTCAAAGTACAGTGACTTTCATTTGGTTATTTAAAAAAAAAAACGTACTTTATCATTGTTTTTTTTGCTAATAAAAACACATTCCGATGCTTATCAAGACAAAGATTTCTTTGTGACTAAATTATAATAAAGCCCCAGTTAACAATACATATACACGCGTATGAGGTGCGAGTTTAAATATTGACGTGAAGAAATTAGTTCTGCATCGCGCTTCGGCTGCTTGAAACATTCTTCTATTAGCACAGCTGCGCATTGTAGCGATCACCTTCGTTCTTCGTTTTAATGATATATTATGTTGACGTCTATTCGTTATTGCTAACCAGTGACCACCTTTAACTAGTTGCCAATGTCACTCTATTTATTAAAGATTGGTGTTTGTTCGACTCTCAAATGTGTGTCGGGCACCAATTTTACTAATGAAATACGTACTCAACAAATGTTCACGATTGAATTCCACGGTGATCGTGTAATAAAAATCAAACTCGCAAAATTATAATTTGCGTAATTACTGGTAATAGGACCTCTTGTGAGTACCACCACAGGGTAAGTACCACCACCCCGCCTATTTCTACTGTGAAGCAGCAATGCACTTCAGTTTGAAGGGTGGGATAGCCGTTGTAATTATACTGAGACCTTAGAAATTATATCTCAAGGTGGGTGGCGCATTTACATTGTAGATGTCTGTGTCTCTGACTCCAGTAACCACTTAACACCAAGTAGGCTGTGAGCTCGCCCACCCATCTAAGCAATAAAAATAAGACCTCTTCGAATATGTTACGTCGTCGGGATGTAGCTATTTGAGTACTTTCTTTCCTTTTCATCTTCTTCATTTTCTTATCAATCTTCGAAAAGTTTGTCTGGATTTTGCCAGATTTCTCGGCCTTTCCACTAGTCATAGGCGCCATGAACACAATCTTTGACGTGTCTTGCTTCTAAGGTTTGCGGGTTGTACACAACGATAGGCAGTATCGCACCAACGCCTCTATCCTAAAAGAACTAAATATCTCTCAAAGGTTGTCGTCAACAGTGCCATCCAGAATTCTTCGATATTTTGGACACGTATCGCGACGGCCAGCAGAGTCTATCGAAAAACTTGTTGTTCAGAGTAGGGTCAATGGTAAGAGATCTCGTGGACGAAGCCCCATGCGCTGGATTGATCAAGTGAAAGACCTTACTAAAACCCCACTTGACGAGTGCGTGCGCCAAGCCTCAGTTCGCAAACTATGGAAAACATCTGTCGAGGCTTTAATAAACAAGAATTCCACATGACCACCACTCCTCTGCCATGAGTAATCGACTATGATGATGATGAAGAAGAAACACTCAATTTTATAATGTGAAATCTGGGGCTGGAATTTTCGAAAAGACGGCGCTGTATTAAACATTCCGGACGATATCATATTTCTCGCCACGAGTATTCAGATTAGTACTACAATAGTGAAGTTATGAAAACTGGCCGATCGTGCCTGCAGGAAACAACTGCATACATTTTGATTAAGTCGAAATGAAGACGGTTCGCGCTTGCATAAATTTCGATCAAGTCGAAATGAAGACGGTTCGCGCTGGGAAGGCAAGTGTAAACCACACTCAAAATGCCCCTAACAAATTCCCACGTTAGCAATCGACAAACACACGTGCCGTATACGACTTACATTACGAAATACATTACACATATCGAAACTTTACAATTCAAGTGGCTTAACTTAAAAATTTAAGAAAATCTTGTTTTATATTTTCAACGACTTATACATACATACACATGACTTCTACCTATTTTATTCTGTCTTCTATCTACATTATTCTATGTATCAGTTTACAAAATTTAACAGTCTCTTTTAGTCGAGAAAATTAAAAAGTACTCTCTTTTTGTCTCGTTTAAATCAAACTCATACATACAAAATAAAATTCCTCAATTTCATTATTGGCGTAGAATGTTAGGAGCAGATAAATCTGTCTACCCTCGTTCAGTTACATCATTCGCTTCAGACATGGTTAGATTATACGCTGTAAGTGAATCTCTCACCTCCATCCCTATACATTCCCCCGCCAGAAGCAGACAGCATGATCTGCAGCCACAGACAGAAGAGCCCGAGTATGACGACAACACGCACGACCGAAGCATACTTGAGCCGTGGCATCTCGTTCACTCGACAGATGGCGCTGCACTCATCTTAGTTTCGTTTCCGCGGACAACAGATGGCGCTGTACTGAATTATGGCATCTTTTCAATTCTCCCACCCCGTGCTTTCGTTTACCTGAAATACAATGATTTGATTAGAAATTACTTTGATGAATTGGACCAGTACTATGCAGATAAAAGTTCGACAGTAAGTATCAACATAAGCAATCGAAATGGGATTTGATTGTGCTTGAGCCCAAATTATCTTAAACTTAAGACCAGTGAAGCTCTCTTATGCTGTCACTATCAACATCGAGAGATATAATATTAACCCTTTCACTGCTATGTAGGTCACCGGTGTCCTGGCGCATCGAAATAATTTCAAAAGTCGTTCATCCGTGACTAAGGAAAAAATTCTAAACAATTCGAAGCGTCGGAAATAATACGAGACAAAAATAGACATGATAATGTTAAAGTAGCTTAAATTATATTTAAAGAAAAACCTTTTTTTATGTAATTTTTATATCTAAAATCTATGAAACTTGGTAGTTTAAAAAAATTAAGATTTTCCCTTATATAAATTGACTGAACTCTCTGTCATTAAGTTTTATTTAATTCAATAATACCGTGTAAAATAATAATTTGTAGAAAATAAAGGCGTTAAATGTTGTTTTCTTAATATTGCACAGAAAAGACAATTAAGTTTTTATTTATTTATTGTTTAGATGGGTGGACCAGCCCATAGACATCTACAACGTAAATGCGCCACCCACCTTGAGACATAAGTTCTAAGGTCTCAGTATAGTTACAACGGTTGCCTCACCCTTCAAACCGAAACGCATTACTGCTTCACGGCAGAAATAGACAGGTTGGTGGTACCTACCCGTACGGACTCACAAGAGGTCCTACCATTAGTAATGTTATTCATAATCTTTCGATAATTAAATTGCAACACAGCTCCATTACAAACGTTCTTTTTCGAATGTATACATTCGATAAGCCTATTATTTTGAATAGAACTATTAGCGTAAAGCTGCACATTATACTTTTTGTTTTTCCTATCTAAGCTGATGTTGGCCTTGAGAGGCCATTTCAGCGTAACCCTAACAAGTAGGTGAGCTCGTGGGGCCTAAATCTGACAACGTTGCTAGCATTAACCCTAGCAAGAGCAGTGCTTCGCAGAATCTACCATCGCATCGGAATCGCGATAGCACTGAGAAGATGCGGCGAGAAACTCAGTAGGGTGTGTGTGTCTATGGGTTAATTTACTCGTCGAGCCCTTCGTCGCAAGCGACGGGTTCGACGAGAACGATGACCGGAGCACATTATACGTTAATATGATTCTACAAACATAGAATTTGTTTGGCATACCGTTTCGATCGCATCCTACAAATACCGTTAGCTTTGGGTATCCGCTGTACACAAGAAATAATGCATAGCATTTGTGCATACGTCGTTTCCGTAGACCTAAGAATGTTTAGAGCGTTTTGAAGGTAAGTCTCAACTGTGAAGCTTCTAATGTACAGAAAATTTAATATGAGATCTAAACCTTTAGAAATATTGTCAGTTATTTTGGATCAAGGATTACTTCAGCTTATAGGCTTATTTGCAGTTGTCGGAAATCAAATCACGATATTCGTTTATCTGTTTGTGTTTTTGTTGTTCTGTTTTTACTGCCCTTGTAGGCAGACGAGCATACGGCCTGCCTGATGGTAAGTGGTTACCGTCGCCCATGGACTTCAGCAATGTCAGGGGCAAAGCCAAGCCGCCGCCTTAACAAGTGTTGGAGACTATCAAAAAGACACCATCACAGGGCTGTATGCTCTTCTGCTTACAATGGCAATGAAAAAAGAAGTATTGCATGACATTGCGGGTATCGCTGTCTTTTTTCTGCAGAGAACCTGTAATGCTCCAGGTTTGCAGGGTGGCATTGTACGATAGATCTGAGAACTCATGTCTCAAGGTGGGTGGCGGCATTTGTTGTTATTGTTGATGTCTATGAGCTCCGATAACCTTTAAACATCAGGTAGGCCGTGAAATAGTTCACCTGTCTGCGAAGTAGAAAACTTAACGAAACCAATTCCAAGGCTAATGTGACTAATCTGTTATGTGGTTGTAGTTTTTTTGTATTATATACTCTATGGTTCCGTTATATTACACGCATCATTAGCCACGCATCAGTCACCCATTATTAGAAGTCGGCGTGGAACCTGATCATAATTATCATTCTATGGTCAGGTCGTCGCGTACTTTAACCCCGAATGACGTCACACGTAGCGAAGGTTCCCCTATAGAAATGCATGAAATATAACCATAAACAAATGTATTGTGTAAATCGTTTAAATATTAAGGATTTTTATGTATTATTTAAGTGTCGCTTCTGTTTCTTCGTAAGTTCTTAGCGACATCTTTATCACTTATTGTTTTAAGATTCATTGTAATTCTAATCGTGTTCCAAAGGTAAAGACGTCATTGAACCCACACAGTGTGTGTCGCAAAGATCAGTCTCCGGCGTTCAGTCATCATATTCCAAGTTTTAAATTACTTCGAAACCGGTTGGACTGTTACAAATCGTTAAAATATTTACACGCTAATAGAATAAAATATTTACACGCGGACTGTTGTAGAATTCTGGCTGAGCTCGAAGCGTACAGTATAGAACCGCAGCGGACTGTGTCTATAGTAGTGTGGTATAGGACCCTCGGCTAGATGTAGGTCGGATCTGTGTCTGTTTGTGCACGAGAAGAGCTCGGGATCAGTACAGAGCTGCAGAGGACTGTGTCTATAGTAGTGTGGTATAGGACCCTCGGCTAGATGTAGGTCGGATCTGTGTCTGTTTGTGTACGAGAAGAGCTCGGGATCAGTACAGAGCTGCAGAGGACTGTGTCTATAGTAGTGTGGTATAGGACCCTCGGCTAGACGTTGGTCGGATCTGTGTCTGTTTGTGTACAAGAAGAGCTTGGGATCAGTACAGAGCTGCAGAGGTCTGCGTCTATAGTAGTGTGGTATAGAACCCTCGGCTAGATGTAGGTCGGATCTGTGTCTGTTTGTGTACGAGAAATGCTCGGGATCAGTACAGAGTTGTAGAGGACTGTGTCTATAGTAGTGTGGTATAGGACCCTCGGCTAGATATAGGTCGGATCTGTGTCTGTTTGTGTACGAGAAATGCTCGGGATCAGTACAGAGATGCAGAGGACTGTGTCTATAGTAGTGTGGTACAGGACCCTCGGCTAGATGTACATCGGATCCGTCTGTAGCAAGAACCGAGTCAATAATATTGAAAGCCGTAATTATTCTGAGATATTGTTTAACGAGGTAAACAGTACATTCTTTTAATATGACGTCTTTTGTTTTACGAAAACACGCCAGGTGGAGTATCCGTATTTTGTCTCGCTACAGAAACTCGTTTTGTTTGAATGCAAATAGCATTTTACAAGACAGTACCTAAATATGTAAGTATTTTTTCAATGACAAGACATTACAATTTTAAATAAAATGCACCTTCAGATAAAGTGGCTGTATGTACATTTTTCGACAAACAGAGAACATAGGTTTGGTTGGTTTTTTTATTTTAACCGATTTAAAAAAAAGGAGTCTCCAATTCGCATACATATTTTTTTTTGTTCCGTCAGAGCTTTTTTCAACTGTTTGTAGGTTTTAATGCTGTTTCGGTCTCGACAGGAGCCGAACTAGTTTCTACCAAACAAAACAGAACGAATCGACTTTTATAAGTAAAAAAATTAGTAAAAATATAATCGATAAATGTACTCTAAGCTTAGCATCCTTTGACTTTGATATTTGTAGACCTAAGGTAACTAACTCACTGGTACATAGGAGCCCCCACAAGTTGTCTCCACATCAAAAAAATAAGTGAACTTTGATTATACGGACTGAAAATAAAACATTTAACCGGCAAGTTTTATCAAAAGATAATCGGCCAACTCTCGTCGAGATTCTAAAATGCTATCTCGTGCAAGTCTTCTGTAATAAAATTATCCAGATAAAATATAGTTGACCCATTTCATTTAAATTGTGTCGTTCTAATAAAGGGATAGATAACAAATGCTGTCATTTGATTAAAATATAAGTTGTAGCTCCATTTTAATAATTCAAAAGTATGGTCCCTGGATAGTTTAGACTTATGATAATCGCCTTATCGTTGCCGCCGCTGACTACTCCCCGAATCCTGATCACGCAGGAGCCAGTCACCGTCGACGCCCTAGACACGTCCTCATGGATCCATCCGGTCCAATAACCCTTGCATTAGACACCTTCAGCTCTAACACTAGGAGTAGGGACCCCGGTAACCGTACTCGTCGAAGTCGGCAGAGTTCGACATGCAACCTAACCTAACCTAAACATCAGCTTGCTGAGTTTCTCGCCGGATCTTCTCAGCGGTTCGCGATTCCGATCCGGTGGTAGATTCTGGGAAGCACGGCTCTTGCTAGGGTTCGTGTTAGCAACAACGTCAGGTTTGAGCACCGTGGGCTCACCTATACTCGAGGAGAAGCTGAAATAGCCTCTCAAGGCTATCAGCGTAGGTAGGAAAAAAAAAGATTAAATAATTGCATTTCGCCGAATAACCATTAGTGTTTCACTCAATTCAACCTGCTTGGACAATAATAGACAAGTAATCGTCCAAGGATCTTCGAGGACGCATCGTTCACCCGTGATTCGCTCACGATCCTTCCGAGCCGGATCGTCTAGCCGTGAATTCCTTCAACATGAGATCACAATTTAGGTCACGGACGCTTTACAATTCAACTAATTCAAACTTTACCTCGACACCGGTGTTTAATATTTTAAAGATTCTCGTCAATTAACGCTAAAGTTAACAAGTCACGGCTCTAGAAATCTAATGGCGACCTTCGTATAGGAGCCGGTGTGTTCACACACGAACAAGCGCACTAATACATTGCAGTTCCAAATAAAGGCAACGGTTTTTAAAACGTGCTTCTACGTATATAAATCACCCACATACGAATTTATACTAGTCGTCTATACTAATATTATAAAGAGGAAAGATTTGTTTGTTTGTATTGAATAGGCTCCGAAACTACAGAACCGATTTGAAAAATTCTTTCACTGTTTGGAAGCTAAACTATTCCCGAGTGACATAGGCTATAATACTTTTTG